AGGGCCACGAGCCTGGCCACCAAAACAAGCAAACCGATCGAGACCTCCTCAAAGTCTGGCCCACCTGGGGGGTGAAAATGAGCGCCTCGCTCGAGACATCCTCCAAATCTGCTCCGAAAGCGAAGGATGTTGGGCACAGAAACAAGCAAACCGCCTGAGACATCCCCACAAAATGGCCGCGAACGTGCCCGTGCAACACCCCAAGGCGGCTCCCCTTAGGGCCACGAGCCTGGCCACCAAAACAAGCAAACCGATCGAGACATCCTCAAAATCTGGCCCACCTGGGGGGTGAGAATGAGCGCCTCGCTCGAGACATCCTCCAAATCTGCTCCGAAAGCGAAGGATGTTGAGCCCAGAAACAAGCAAACCGCCTGAGACATCCCCGCAAAATGGCCGCGAACGAGCCCGTGCAACCACCCCTGGCGGCTCCCCTTAGGGCCACGAGACTGGCCACCAAAACAAGCAAACCGATCGAGACATCCTCAAAATCTGGCCCACCTGGGGGGTGAAAATGAGCGCCTCGCTCGAGACATCCTCCAAATATGCTCCGAAAGCGAAGGATGTTGGGCCCAGAAACAAGCAAACCGCCTGAGACATCCCCACAAAATGGCCGCGAACGAGCCCGTGCAAACACCCCTGGCGGCTCCCCTTAGGGCCACGAGCCTGGCCACCAAAACAAGCAAACCGATCGAGACATCCTCAAAATCTGGCCCACCTGGGGGGTGAAAATGAGCGCATCGCTCGAGACATCCTCCAAATCTGCTCCGAAAGCGAAGGATGTTGGCAAGACAAACAGGCAAACCGCCTGAGACATCCCCACAAAACGGCCGCGAACGGGACCGTGCAACACCCCTCGGCGGCTCCCCTTAGGGGTGCTGAAACAGCGCCCCGCCTGAGACATCCTCGCAATCTGCTGTTTATCGAATAAGTCAGACAATGAGAAGGTCTGAGTATGAGTAATTCTGAGTATGAGTAAGTCTGTGTATGAGGAACTCTGAGTAAAAGGAGGAGGAGAAGGAGGAAGTCTGAGTATGAGTAAGTCTGAGTATGAGTAGGTCTGGGTATGAGTAGGTCTGAGTATGAGTAAGTTAATGTGATCAGGTCTGAGTATGAGTGAGTCTGTGTATGAGTAAGTCTGTGTATGAGTAAGTCTGTGTATGAGCGAATCTGAGTATGAGTGAGTCTAAGTAGGAGGAGGCGAGAAGAGGGGAGGAGGAGAAGAAGAAGGAGTAGGAGGCGTCCAAGTAATAACAAGAACCCCATCTTAGGATATGGGGAACAAACAACACACAACACACACACACGCACACACGCACACGCACAACGCACACGCACACGCAGACGCACACGCACACGCGCACACGCACGAACGCGCTCACGCGCACACGCGCACACGCGCACACGCGCACACCACACACACCGCATTCGCGCACACTTAAACACGCACACACGCACGCACGCACGCACGCACGCACGCGCACACGCGCACGCACCAACCCACCCACCCACCCACACACCCACACCCGTTCGGACACACCCACACCCACACACACACACACACACACGCCACACGCCACATGCCACACGCCACACGCCCCACGCCCCACGCCCAGTTCACGCACACGCATACGCACACGCACACACACACACACCCACGCACACACGCACACGCTCACACGCACAAACGTGCACACACGCACACACGCACACACGCGCACACGCACACACGCACACACGCACACACGCACACACGCACACACGCACACACGCACACACGCACACACGCACAGCCGCACACACGCACGCACGCACGCACGCACGCGCACACGCGCACACGCGCACACGCGCAGACGCGCACACGCTTACACGCGCACACGCGCACACGCGCACACGCGCACACGCGAACACGCGCACACACGCACACGCGCACGCGCGCGCGCACGCGCACACGCGCACACGCGCACGCGCACACGCACACACGCACACACGCGCACACGCGCACACGCGCACACGCGCACACGCGCACACGCGCACACGCGCACACGCGCACACGCGCACACGCGCACACGCTCACACGCTCACACGCTCACACGCTCACACGTTTACACGCTTACACGCTTACACGCTTACACGCTTACACGCACGCACACACGCACACACGCACACACGCACACACGCACAGCCGCACAGCCGCACAGCCGCACAGCCGCACACGCACACACACACAACGCACACGCACACACACACAACGCACCCGCACCCGCACGCACGCACGCACGCACACACCCACGCACACGCACCCACCCACACACACACCCATTCCCACACACCCACACCCACACACACGCGCACACGCACACACGCACACACGCGCACACGCGCACACGCGCACACACGCACCCACGCACGCACGCACACACGCACGCCGCACGGACGCACCTGCACACCGCACACCGCCACACCCGCACACCCGCACACCCGCACACACCCACACACACAAACACACCCACACACACAAACACGACACACACACACACACCACACACACACACGCACACTACACAACACCACACGCACACACACACACCACCACGCACAACACACGCACGCACACAACACACAATACACACACAACACCACACGCACACAAGCGCACAGCACACGCCACACGCACCCGCACAAGCACACGGGACAAGCATACGCACACGCGCGCGCACACGCACACACGCACACGCACAACACACACGCAGTCACATACGCACACACACACAAGCACACCACACACGAGCAACACACACGCACAACACACACGCACAACACGCACGCACAACGCACACGCACAGCACACACGCACACGCACACACGCACACGCGAACACGCACACGCACAACACACACACACACCACGCACACACGCACACGCACACACGCAAACAACCACAAGCAACGACACGCCAACTCACGACGACGCCACAATGCACACTCACACACCCACACACCGCACAAACGCACACGAACCACGCACTACGCACACACACGCCACACACACCCACACAACCACACCGCCAATGCGCACACAACCACGTCAACTTACTGCACACGCACACGACGCACACGCACACGCACGCACGCACGCACACACGCGCACTAACGCGACACGCACGACACACACCACACACCACACACACCACACCACCGCACACCCATTCGCGCACGCGCACGCGCACGCGCCACGCGCACGCGCAACGCACACACAACCACACACCACCACCACGAACCACCCCCCCCCCATACACAAACACAACACCCGCAGCACACAACCCAAAGCAGCACACAAGCAAACAGCACACAGTTTGCACACAGCACACAGCACACAGTCACGCACACAGCGCGCACACGCACAACGCTCACAAACCTGGGGCCTCACACGCGCACACGCCACACCACACACACACACTCATTCAGCACCATTATCGTCACGCGCCCACGCGCACAACGCACACACATACACCACATCACGCACACACACCACACACACCCACACACAGGCACCACACCCACTACACACACGCACGCACACACGCACGCACGCACGCACGCACGCACGCACGCACGCACACACACGCGCACACACACAACACACGCACACACAACACACACAGCACACACAACACACAACACACTCAACACACAACACACAACACACAACACAACACACACAACACAACAAACACAACACAACACAAACACAACACAACACAACACACCACACCACAACACACACAACACAACACAACACAACACAACACAACACAACACAACACAACACAACACAACACAACACAACACAACACAACACAACACAACACAAGACAAGACAAGACAAGACAAGACAAGACAAGACAAGACACACACACACACGCACTCACACATACTCACACACACTCGCACACACACACACACACACACACGCACACGCACACCCACATGCACACGCACATGCACACAGGCACACACGCACGCGCACACCCACACGCACACGCACAGACACACCCCCACACCCCCACACACCCCCACTCCCCCACACACCCCCACACACCCCCACACACCCCCACACACACCCACACACCCCACACACCCACACACCCACACACACCCACACACCCACCCCACCGCACACACCGCACACACCGCACAACACCGCAAACACCCCCAATCACCCCCAATTCACCCACACACCCGCACACACACCCACACACCCCACACACCCAACACACCCCACAAACCCCACACCCCCACACACACACCCACACCCCCACACCCCCCACACCCCCACACACCCCCACACACACAACACACCCCCACACACCCCCACACACACACACACACACATACCCCCACACACCCCCACACCCCCCACACACACCCCCACACGCCCCCATACCCTCACACCCCCACACCCACGCACACCACCACACCCCACACCCCCACACCCACACACCCACACCCCCACACACCCACACACCCACACACCCGCACATCCACACACCCACGCACCCACGCACCCACACACACACACACCGACACACACACACACACGCACACACCCCTACACACACACGCACACACACACACACACACGCACGCACGCACACACACACACACACACACGCGCGCACACGCGCACGCACGCACGCGCGCACACGCGCACACGCGCACACCCGCACACGCGCACACACACACACACACACGAGGTGCCACACGAGCCGGCCTCCCGTGCCCCCTCGAACAGTCGCAACCCAGAATGCTGGGGTGGCACGGTGTCGGGACTGCCGCAATGAGCTCCTCCTCCTCCCTCACCCCCTCCCTTTCCCCCTCTCCCTCCCCCTCCTTCTCTCCTCCTCATCCTCCTCTTTCTCATCCTCCTCCTCTTCCTCGTCCTCGATCGTAGAAGAGACGCACCAAGCAAAGAAACGGCAGACTGGACGGCGGACGGCGCGCCTCGCAGTCGAAGGGCAAAGAGGCAGAGCCGTCGTCGGCGCCGCCCTGACGGGAGGGCAGCGGGCCCGGACTCGGGGCGGGCCCTCCTCCTCCTCCTCCTCCTCCTCCTCCTCCTCCTCCTCCTCCTCCTCCCCCGCCCCTGGCACGGGAATCCCCAATCCAGGGACGGAGGCATAGGAGCTGTACCAGAAGCCATGTCGGGGAACTGTAGGAAGAGCTGGACTAAGGTACGTAGTAGACATGCTAATGCAAGCTGCAAGTAGGGCTGGAACGTTGTTTTCACGGGATGCTATGCCAGGAGCTGTTTCGGGAGAGTCATGATCAGTAATAAGGTATCGGTTCGAAGTTCTGTGCGGGCTTTAGCGAAACCAGTCCTGAAGGCTGTGCTACTGGCTGTGGCAACACTTGCAAACATAGCTGCGCTGGCATATGTGTTAGGATTGGGCCATCACCCGTAACAGAAAGTGTAGCAAGAGTTGTGGTGAGAGTTGTGCGGCCAGCGACAGTAGAAACTGTTAAATGAGGCTGTCGTAATATCTGTTGTGTGGAGTTCTAGTCGGAGTTGTAGTGGGAGCTGTCGAGGGACAGCTGTGAGAGTCGTAGTGCTGGGTGTAGTAAGAGCTGTAGTACGGCCTGGTGTATGAGCTGCAGAGGTGGGCAATATTAAGAGCTGCAATGAGAGCTGTACAAAGGCCGTAAGGAGCGTAACAGGAGCTGTGTAAGTGCCCAAAGGACTGTGGTAAGAACTCTATCTTGATGTGCCGCATGCCAATTGGTAGACACTGTGGTGATAACTGTAAACTGTGTTGTACTAAAACCTGCGCTCGGAACTCGAGCAAGACATGTAACGGAAACAGCCTTGCGATTGGAGTATGTGCGACTGTTGGCAATTGGACGTGTAATAGACACTTCGGTCGGAACACAAATGAACGCCGTGCTACTGGCTGTACTTGGAATTGCAATAAGAACTGCACTAGGACATGGAATTGCACGTGTGCCGTCACCTGTATGATGACCTGCACGAAGACTTGTAGTGAGAGCTATGCGCGTGGCTGTGGTAGGAACTGCTGATGAACCTGTGTAAGGAGCGGGTGTAGGAGTTGGGGACTGCACTGCTGGATCCTAAGGGGCTGTAGTACGGCCCGTACGCCTCCTCCTCCTGCTCCTCCTCCTCCCCCTTCTCTTCCTCCTGTCCTCCTCCCCCTTTCACTCCCCTCACTCCTCGTGGGGAGGAGGAAGAGGAGGAGGAGGGGGATGAGGAGGAGGAGGAGGGAAATCATGACGATGACAAGGAGGACAAGGAGATGGTTCCGCGCGCAAGTCCCAACGCTTTCCAATCAAGCTCTATACGGCTTTCTCGAAATCTCAAAACTCGTGGTGATCCGACAACGAAACGAAACGTCTCGGCATACCCAGGAGCAGGATGGGGACCAAGGGGAAACGTGGGCGGCCGTGAGCGCAGGCCTCCTCCTCCTCCTCCTCCTCCTCCTCCATCTCCTCCTCCTCCTCCTCCTCCTCCATGCCTCTTCCTTGCAAGAAACTCCTTCCCGCCGCGCTCCGAGACAAGTCGGTCAGGCGGGCCGTCCGTTTCGCCTGAGAACTCACCATGTATGTATGGCCATGGCCCTGAATCCTGCAACAGGGATAGACTCAGGGGGAGAAGCATCGACCTGGAATCGGCGGCGACGCAACGCCGATAGATCAGCGACAGGCCCCCGACAGCGAATCCGCGCGCTCCTGGGCGGCCTGGGCTATCGGTGCTCTATATCGGCGATGAATTGGCGATGGGGGGTCGGATGTGTCCCGCCCCCCCTGAGCCCATCACTCCCCTAACGTGGCCCCGGAGTTGCGCTGGCCTAAGGGGGGCCACATGCGAACCCTACCCCCACCCCCCACGACTTCTGAGGGGGAGGGTGGGGCTCCCTTCGCTCGGGAGCTCCCGAGCGAAGTGAACCCCCCCCCTCCCCCTCAGAAATCGTGGGGGGTAGGGGCCTGGCCATCGCTCGGACGTCCATTCCCTGTGTTTTTGTTCGGTTTCGTGCGTCTTTTTTTTTCGCCGGATGGTCGAGGACGCTCCTCGGAGGTCCTCGCCGAGGAAAAAAGTGCACACGTCCGAACGATGCCAAGGGGCAGGGGCGACGGGCCAGGGATGATACGCCGCCGGCCACCTCGGCGGCGCCGCCGTCCTCGCCGTCCGCTGCGGGCGCGTCCTCCGCGAGCGCGACGGCGGCCCTGCGGGCGGCCGAGGCCGCCGGCACCGCCGACGCCGTCGCGACCGTCGCCGCGCAAAGAGGGACCAGTGCGATCGACTTAGGCACGGAAGGAAGACAGTCGGAGCGTTGACCCAAGGAACCCTGAATGAGGAACGAGGCCCCTCAGATCCAGAAGCTGGACTTCGACTTCCCATCGGAGACCAGAGCAAAACCCAGGGCAAACTGTGAAGCAATCAGGGGACACGGAGCCCCTCCCCAACGAAAAGGGTTCGTTCTTCAGGGCCCCGACTGTAGGGACGAACGCCCCTATCCAATTTGAACAAGCGACCAGGCTGGGCATGCCAGCGCCTCGCTCCTCGCTCTCCTCGCTCTCCTCCTCCTCCTCCTCCTCCTCCTCCTCCTCCTCCTCTTTCTCCTCCTCTTCCTCTCCTCCTCCTCCTCCTCCTCCTCCTCCTCCTCCTCTTCCAGTCGGTGCCGCCGCGGGCCTTGTCCATTCGAGGCAAGAGGCCGCCTCCTTGGACCAACAACCCTCGCAAGATGCGGCAGAGCCGTGCTCCCGATGCTCGGGCGTGGCCCCAGATGGCCTCCAGCAGCCCCCAATCGTACCGAGAGGGCTTCTAGTGCGTAGCACGACGGGGGCGCTCGAATTAGGCCACATAGCGCTGAGTACGAACTGCAACACATCAATATGATTTGATGATTCCTGTCTGCCCTCGCATATTGCTTTCAAACGTCTTCAAGGCGCGGCGCCCAGACACCCCAACGTAGCTCTGATGAATAATTCGCCGGCCCAACGGGCCAGGGCGTGCTAAGATCTCCGGTAACTGGTTAACAGTATTAACAGTATTTCTAGTTCGCGCGCGCGGGGCGGCCCCTGGGGGTCCCCCGGCGAAAAGTACCCCGACCAACGCCCGGTCGCCGCCCGACCACCGCCGCCCGACCAAGTCTACTCAGAGATGGTTTTCCTTCTGGGTGCGGCCTCTCAGGCTCCCCAGAGCGCGCTCAGAGTGCCCCAAGAGGCCCCCAAGACTGCCCAAGAGGCCCCCGAGACGCCCAAAGAGCGCTCGAAGACGCCGAAGATGACCCCAAGACGGCCCAAAAGGCCCCCAAGACAGCCCAAGAGGCCTCCAAGACGCCCCAAGAGCCTTCCAAGAGGCCTCCGAAGAGAGCCCCAAGAGGCCAAAATCGTTGATTTTCATTGGTTTTTTCTATGTTTTTTGTGTTCTGGCTTTTTCGGCTTCCGGACGCTCCAAGACGGCCCAAGAGGCCCCCAAGACCGCTCCAAGACGGCCCACGAAGCTCCCAAGACGGCGCCGAAACGACCCAAGAGAGCCCTCAAGACGGCCCAAGTGCCGCCCAAGACGGACCAAGAGGCCCCAAGACGGGCCCAAGAGGGACTCAGGAGGGATACCGAGAACTCAAAAATGGAGCCCTCCGTCCCAGAAGGCGCCCAGGAGGTCCCAAAGAGGCCCCAAGAGGCCTCCAAGAGGCCCCAAGATGTCGCCAAGAGGCCCCAGGAGACTCCCAGGAGGCCCAAAAGAAGCCCCAGAAGGCTTCAAACATGTCTCCCAGGCGCCCCCGAACGGCCTCTCAACAGACCCCAAGAGGCCCCCCAAAGAAGCATCTTGACGACGACTCTATTTCGCCCCATCGAGAGACGACCCCCAGGGAACTGCTTCACCATCAAAACTCCCCACGCAACGCGTCCGAACGACACCCGCCCCCAAGAGCGCAACATGGGCAACGAATACACAGACAAAAACCAGCGATGCCATATCACGGGCCGGCGGAATGAGCGAAGCGATTCAATAGATCCCATTACGATAGAGAAGGAGCCAGCGGCAGAGAAAGAAACCCTTGCGGATATTTCATCGACCTGCTGGGCCAGGACAGCAACCCGATTACATTCGAGTGCTACGATACCCTTGGCCTACCCCCCGCCTGGGCCCCACAGCAAACGCGGGCCTCCACAGATGCTCCACGGCCAGACCAAACGGGCGAGTGGGGAGCTTACATAGGAGGACATCTAGGTCGTGATGGACACAACGGTACCTCACTCAGATTGTTTTGAAGTGCCGATCGTTTACGATACTGCTACATTAACCGCCAGGCTGGTATGCCGATGCCGCTGCAACGTGCACCTACTGAACCAGAACGCTGCAAATATACGTTACGTTGTTCCTTGACATTCATGGTCAAAGGCCCAGTTGGATGGGTAGAGAGGCGGAGAGGTCGACTGTGACCCCATTCCTCGTGGGATGAAGACCCTTGCCGAACATCCTCCACATCTCACTCGTATGCGGCTCCGCGAGGGGCTCGCATGTTTGCCGAGCTTTGCAAGCCGCTCACCTGACGTGTAGCAGCTGCGCCGCTGACAAACACAAGAGCGATCGACGCGTCGCTGCAATCAATGAGCACGCAACGATGGTCAAGCGTTCTCAGGGAGGGGGCTGACCTTGAGGTGACGGGTGCACCTGCCCTCTGGGGGCTGCGTCTTGGTGCGCGAGCCCCTGCGGCAGTGAATGCGCTGTCAAAAGATCCGAGGGGGGTGGCCCACGAGAGACCACTCGTGGCCAGAAAGCTGTCCTTGGGCTACCTTCGGCCTCGGCGCCTGTTGGACACCGTCCAGGTCGGTCCGTGGCCGAAGGGGCATAACACGAGCGGCCAGCTTGACCTCAACTTGGCGGCCCGATCGGCCCAATCGTTCCCCTTCCCCCGAGTGAGCTCGTCAGAGTCCAGGGGGGGTCTGATTCTTGAAGAGCTACAACCCTGTCCATGCCTGAGATCACTCCGTCGGACCAAGCGTCCGCGTGCAAAAAAAGGCCCGCGCACATGCGCCGATGCGAATGACGCTCGGACCTGGAAGGGGACCGCAACCTCACAACATTCTCACAGCCATTCTTGAAATCACGGGATGGGGCGAGAGGTAAGCCGCCGTGCAAGCTGGGGCCCCGGTCTCAGTTGCTTGGCTAGTCTGGGGATACGTAACTGGAGGAGGGGGGACCATGCGGGAGAGCCCCGAGCTCCCCGTCAGGCGAGAGCTTGGCCGTTCCCCATCCCGCCCTCCAAAGCTCCTTGATCGGAGACTTCTGACACCAGCCATCCCAAAAGAGACCCCCACCACCACCAGCTCGTCACTCTCGTCCGCGTGCGTGGCGAAGCCACTCGATGTGCTGAAAGAGGCGGCTGGCCCAGCAGCCTCAAAAACTCTACAAACTTGAGAGGCGAAAGCGTCGTCCTGTCCAGGGGATCTAGGCCACCCAACACCAGGGTGAGGGCGTAGACCTGTCTCGAACTGAAACCGTTCACCTTCCGAAAGGTCTGGCTGTGCACACTCCACTACTTGGGCAGGGACGAGCTCGGCACCCAAATCCTCGCAGGACTTGCAAGCCCACAAGCGGTGGAGCACTGCGTCGCCTGGTTCTCCGCGCCCACCTGGCGCGCGCGCGTCTTCAACGCGAGACATAGGCCAGGTATCATTGCAGCTGACGGCGCGGATGGCGCCCTTGTCCAAAGCCGAAAACTTTTTGGACGCCAGACCCTCCAAAACAATGACGAAGCACAACCCGTTGTCCAAGGCGCACTTGGCCCCCACCTCACGCGCCAGAAGCCTGCAAGAACACTCGCGCGGGAGGTGCCTTTCTGAGCCAAGCATGGGAGGCGGGGGGAAAAGACAAGGGAATCCCAAGGCCGTCCACGAACCCGAAAGGCTGACACATGGCCCAGCTAAGCCTGGCCATCGACAAGCATCGAGCAAGGCCCGCTGAAGGCCTGGTTCCAGGAGTCCCTCAAGAACTTCCAAAGCCTTTGAGGGTGGCGGATGTACGCCGGAACCACACTTCGCGCGCGTAGCGGAAGATAGGGGCAACCGCGCCGAAACGCGCCGGATCGCCCTCGAGTCTCAGAAGCGAGACCAGGGGGGGGCCTCCTGCGGAAGGCTTGAGAGACGAACCAGCAAGGCGACGAACTTTGGCCAACTCCCCATTCGAGAAACCATGGACCCAGCAGACATGCTGCAAAGCAAAAATCCCCCGCGGCAGGAATCCTGCGCGTCCTTCGGCCACGACGGGCCGCCTTAGCAACCGTGGCTTTGTTTTTGTTGTTCCTGCCACGCACCTTCCTGTCCTTCCCTCCACTGTCGTCAATCCCTAAGTTGACCACGGGCGGGGCGGTCGCGCACTGCGAAGGACCCCTCTGGCTGACCCGGGTTAGCGGCCACGAGCGGCTCGCTAACCCGGGTCAGCCAGAGGGGGCCTTCGCAGGATCCTGCAGGATCTGGCGCTCTGGCTGACCCCCGTTTGCACTGACCCCCGTCTGTTGGGCCCCGAGGGTGGGGAGGCGGCCTCAGCCCGGCGCCCGCGCCGGCCGCGCGGCCAGGCGCCGCCCGCGCAGGGAGCCCGCTGGCAGCTGCCGCGCCGAGGGATGCCAGCCCGAGGGCGGCCAGGCCCACCTCGGAGAATGCCCGACGCCCAGACCTCCTCCTCCTCCTCCTCCTCCTCCTCCTCCTCCTCCTCCTCCTCCTCCTCCTCCCTCCTCCTCCTCCCCTCCTCTCCTCCTCCCTCCTCCCTCCCTCCCTCCCCCTCCCTCCCTCCCTCCCCCCTCCTCCCTCCCCTCCCTCCCTCCCTCCCTCCCCCCCTCCCTCCCCCCTCCCTCCCTTCCCTCCCCCTCTCTGCTCCTCTCCACTCCTCCTCTCCTGCTCCTCCTGCTCCTCTGCTCCTCCTCCTCCACATCCTCCTCCACATCTCCTCCTCCTCCTCCTCCTCCTCCACGTCCTCCTCCTCCTGCTCCTCCTCCTCCTCCTCCACGTCCTCCTCCTCCTCCACGTCCTCCTCCTCCTCCTCCTCCTCCTCCTCCTCCTCCTCCTCCTCCTCTTCTCCGCCGCCTCCTCCAGGGTCGAGGGAACGAGGGGCCGAGGATCAAGAGATCGAGGCTTCGAGGGTCAAGAGGTCGATGGGATCCAGGACCGAGGGATGGAAGGGTCTAGTATTACGCCGAGACAGGCCAGCCCCAGGGCCGCCAGGCTCACCTGTCCAGGGTGGAAATTTTCAGGATCGAGGGAACGAAGATCAAGAGAGCGAGGTTTCCAGATCGAGGGATCGAAGCTCAAGAGATCGAGGTTCGCGAATCAAGGGGGTCGACGTGTTTGGGTCGAGGGAACGAGGATCAAGAGATCGAGGATCGCGTCGATGGTTCGAGGGGGTCCAGGATAGAGGGATCGCGAAAGGTCCAAGATCACGCCGGGAAAGGCCAGCTCAAGGACCGGCCGACCCACCTCGGAGGGGGGCCCGACGCTCAGATTTATTGATGTTGCTCCTCCGCCGCCCAGAACTCCTCCTCCTCCTCCTCCTCCGCCTCCTCCTGCGTCTCCTCCTCCTCCTCCTCCTCCTCCTTCTCGTCCTCCTCATCCTCCTCTCTCCTCTCTCCTTCCTCTCCTCTCTGATCTCTCCTCTGTCCTCCTCCTCTTCCTCCTCCTCCTCCTCCTCAGCAGCGGCCGTGCTTCAGACAATGCAGGCTCCAACTCGAGACGCGAGAAATAACACACAGCTCAAACCGCACTGACGACAATGATATCAATTCAAAAGTGTCTACCGTGACCTGCGAACGGCGAAGAGCTCTCAAGTCCGTTATTGGGACCGCAAGGCTAGGTAAGCTTACTAGAATGAGCACCACTGCTGTGCAATTTGCAACATGAAAAAGGAACAAGTGAAAGGAGCTCGAGCATGGGAACGCCAGAACACAGTGCCAACGTCTGCTCGCTCTGGAGCCCGTCAAAGGAGACACGGAACCGCCAGCAGGAGACCAGATGCGAACCCTACCCCGACCCCCCACGATTTCTGAAGGGGAGGGTGAGGCTCACCTCGCTCGGGAGCTCCCGAGCGAAGTGAACCCCACCCTCCCCCTCAGAAATCGGGGGGGGGGTAGGGTCAAGAAACCCTCCCCGCCCGCAAGCTGTCTCGCTCACTCCCACCCGCCCTCCCAACACATACGTAGCACCCGAGTCTGGCCCGAGCCTCAGCATATTCAGCAGTCGTCTTTGGATGGGTAGCTAACTACTGGGGGCCAATCCGCCTCCGCCACCGCCGCCTCCGCCGCCGCCGCCGCCGCCGCCGCCGCCCGCCGCCGCCGCCGCCACGCCGCCGCCGCCGCCGCCGGCGCCAGCGCCTGCGCCGCCAGTTCGCATGTGGCCCCCTAGCCGGGACGAAGTCTCCAACGAGTGGCTGCCCTGGAAGCCTGGCCTCTCGAGGGTCGGGTGCGGCTTCGGCCTCGCCGCCCTTCGAGCCTCGAGCTTCGGCCACCGCGGTGGGCGCTCCGCCCCCGCCTGCAGAGCGTGCCCGGCCGTCGGTGTGCGCCGCAACGCGGCCTCGCGAGGTCCCCAGGGGGAAGCGCTGGGTGCGGAGCCGCTCGCTCCCTGGCGCCCCTCGGGCCGGGCGACAGGGGGGGACAGCAAAGGAGAGGGTTGAGAATCAGCTCACATGTTTGCCCAGCGCCTCGCGGCGCCGGGAGGCGCCCAGGTGTCGAGGAATGGGCCCAGCGGTGGGGCCGAAACCAGCTACATGCAGCAGAATTCGTACCCCCCCCTTTCCCTATCCCCCCCTGCGTTCGGCCCGAACCTTTATCAGCAGAGAAATTCCATCGCCTGGGCTGACTCCCTCTTCGTCTCACTCCTGTGAGCATCGACCTTCGAGGTACCTTCAAGAGAGACTGGTTTCCTTGATCCCGCGCGGGCACTATCCTGACCTGGCTCTCAAGCCGCGCCCGACTGTGGCGACGAAGCTTCCACCCATTGAAGTCACGGCAACGACGACGTCGACATTCCTCCCCCTCCCTCTCTTCGGCATGAGGGAAACGGGTCCTGGACCCCGGGACCTCCCCCCAAGACGCACTCTTCATCCCCAAGATCTCTTCCAAGGACCCGGGAGGGCCCCGAGAGGTTAAACAACCAAACACGAAAAGACACGGGACCCGTTTCCCTCAGGACTCCCCCGGGAAAACCAGAAGAAACCGATGCTGCTGCTCCTCAAACCTCTTCTTTGGTGCGTTCTGACGGGAGTTTCGATGCGAGTCCAGTCGTGGCGACAAGCTCTTTCCAGGATGGACAGAGGCCCCCAGACGGGGGTCCGAGTTGATGGGGTCGGAGGATTGCGCCGCATCGCCGATGCATCGGCGACGCGGCTCGATGTGGAGCCCGACCTTCTCCACGCCGACGACGCCGATGCGTTGCAAACGTCGCCGATACATCGCCGACGTGTGGCCGATGCATCGCCCATGCATCGGCGATGCGGCGCGATCCTCCGACCCATCTACTCGGACCCCATCTGGGAGGCCTCGAGTCGGGTCGGGCGAAAGGGGGGGATAGCAAAGGGGGGGTTTGAGCATCAGCTCACGTAGCTGATTTTCCCGGCGCCTCCCGGCGCCGGAGGCGGCTATGTATCGAGGAATGGGCCCCTCGGTGAGGCCGAAACGAGCTGCATGCAGCAAATTTCGTACCCCCCCTTTCCCAATCCCCCCCTTTCGTCCGGCCCGATCGAGTAACCCCATTTGTCGATCGAAAATCGTCAAGATCTCATTTGGGGCCCATCGAAATCCAAGAAACCCAGGGCACCCTGGCAAAATCCAACTGGTCTCTTGGCACGCGCCCCCACGTGACGACGACGACGACGACGACGACGACGACGACGACGACGACGACGACGTCTGCGACGGGCCCCTCCGACCCACCCTCGGGCGCCCGAGGCGCCGAGTAACCCACCTCCTCCTGTCATGGCGGCCCTGCCTCCCTGAAGGGGCCCCAGGACACACAAATAAACACACACACACACATAAAAAAAGAGTCCCCATATTGTCCTATATTCTCTGGGCTCTTGTCGCCCCCCCCACCTCCCATACTTATTCTCCCATATTTTTTCCTGGGACTCGACGATTCATTGTGCCTGTGTGTTTTTTCCCCTCCTGACTCGGAGTCAGGCTGGGCGGCCGCAGGGGGCAGGAGGGAGTCACTCCCTCCTGCCCCCTGCGGCCGCCCAGCCCCCCGCGGCCAGGCACGCCACCGCCGCGCGCCCCGCCGGCAGCCGCGGCGCCGCCGCCGCCGGAGCGGCCGCGGCGTCGCCGTCCTCGCCGGGGAACAGCGGCGCTTCCTCTGCGGGGGAGGGCGGCGCCAGCGGCTGCGCCGACGCCCACGGCTGGCCCTCGCGCGGACGTCCGTGCCCCGTGCTTTTTTTTTCGGTCTCGTGCGCGGCATTTTTTCGCAGGGTGGTCCAGGATGCGCCTTCATCGTCCCCGCAGAGAAGAAGGGCACACGTCCGAGCGATAACAAGACGACGGCGACGACGACAACGCCGACGACGTGCCCGACGGCGACGACGACGACGCCGACGACGTGCACGACGCCGAAGGCGTCGACGACCACGACGTCGGCACCCACGAGGTCTTGGGCCGGCTCTGGAAGGCCTCTTCCAGACGGGCTGGGCCGTACCCGCGGCGGGGTGCCCGGGGCTCGAAACATCTCGACGGAAGTTTTGGTGACTTTGGGTCGGTTGAAACATTCGTTAGAGCTGTCAAAATTATTGCGGAGCACCCGGATCTTATTCCCGCCCGCCATCTTGATCTCAGGTCGATTGGGCCGCATCCGCGGCGGCAGAGCTGGCGCTGCCTCTTCCCATCGCCTCGCGTGCTCACCTCCAGACTCCGAACTTCGGTCGGGCGCGTCCTCCTACACTGAGGAGGGACCGACCATCCATTCCTAATAGTCCTACCACGAAGTGTTCTTAGAACCCAGAAATGTTCTAAGAACAAAAACACGGTTCTTCGAACATGAACCCGATGTGATAAAACAAGACAGTCCCAGCCAGACATGTTCTCAGAAGAACCTTTCGTGGGAGCCACAAAAGGTTCTTAGACCATTGTTTGGTAGGACTATGGGCACGCCAGGACGCTTCGCCACTGCTTGACTACAGGCGGATTTTGGACGAAGCATGAAAAATAGTCAAACAATGATCATAAACAGGCTACAGTAGTCCAAACATCGTCCCCGGACTACCTGTTTTGACTACTTCTGAGCACTCCTCCTCTAGAGGGATAGGGCCGGCTGAACTCCAGACCTCATCCCAGGCGCCTCTGCCGCGCGCACATCCTTTGGGGAGGGTGGCGGCGCCAACGGCTACGAGTAAGTTGGGCCCGTCCCCCTACAGGGGGATTTTCGACGAAAAATTACAAATACCCAAACAATTCCCCAAAAAGGTCAAACAGGTACTCAAAAAATAGTCCACAGACTATTTTTGGAGTATTTTTTAACTATGTTTTGAGTATTTTCTATTTTTCGTCGAAAATCCCCCTGCAGGGGGACAGGCCGGACTTCAGGCTACGACGACATCCACCAAGACGACGACGCCCACGACGGCAACGACGTCCACGACGACCGCGCCATCGACAAGCGAAGAGACAGCGGCACTG